CAGCGCCCCAGCAGCTGCAACAGGTGGCTACGGCAAATGGGTCCCATTGCAACATGTGTAACACCAGATCTAAATTTGCAACATTCAAATGGAATACTGCAACATATGTCCGAAACAGGTGAAACACTTGCAACATACGTCTAAAACACCAGAAAACACGTGTGTAACCATTGCAAAATATATGCAACGTCCAGATAAAACATTTTAAGCATACGTTTGAAGCAACTGGAAACACTTGAAACACATGTGCAATATCCAGATCTACTTTTGCAACATCCAGATGAAACACTTTGGACGTGCATCTGAAACAGTTAGAACATACACTAGAAACATACGTATATAGCCATTGCAACATGTGCAACATCCAGAATTACTTTTGCAACACCAATATAAAATACCTGCAACATACATCTGAAACATCTAAAATACTTGAAAGATACGTTTGCAATATGCACTTTCAACGCAATATCTCCTAGTTGTTTGGGAATGAACGCTCGTCGGCGCGTGGAGTCCACCGGTGTAGAGCTCGCCGGTGGCGCGGAGCTCGCCACTCCGGTGGAGAAAGCCGCGGCGTGCGGGAGGGGCGGTGGAGAGGAAGACGGACTGCCGCGCTCTGGCGCGATGGAGATGCCGGCCGACAGAGCGGAGGCGTAGTGGGGAGCGCGGTCATCAAGGCAGCGCGCGGTTGTAGAGCGCTATCGGTGCTGTGGTGAGGTGAGTTTTTTTTAAATAGTTGGAGCAAGTGAATGAGCAGATAAGAGGTGGTCATTAGGCTGGCGTCACAGCGACAGGACGGACGAACGGCGTATACTTAGGCAGCATTACCAAAAATAAAACGGGCAACTTTCCTTCTTTCGGAGGGTCAAAAATTGAGGCCCGTGCAGCTCGCAGCCCGGCCGGCGCGCGGTGCCGGTGCGGTGGGTCAAAAACAACGGCCTCGCGTGGAGTCGGAAATCCTTTTGCATCCAGTGTTGGGCTGAGCCCAGTTCGAACCACCACCAAAACTACGACCAAACAAACAGCCCACCACATGAGAAAGACAAAGCCCGAATTTTATTTTCTTTCTTTACCTTGTAATCTTTGTGATTAGTTTATTACTGCCTCTCTCTCTCTCTCTCTCTCTCTCTCTCTCTCTCTCTCTCTCTCTCTCTCTCTCAGGAGGAATACAATTTTAGTTTTCTCCTAAGCCAACTATCTTAAATTTTGACAGTGTCAACAGTTATGGCACCAAAACATGTATACTATGAAATTTATTCTATTTTAGTATAATAATACTTATTTAGTGATAAATAATATTTTTTATAAACTATAGTTTTTTATAAATTTTATTCCTTGGAATGATTTAGAAAATTGTTTTAGTAGTTGTATCAACATTTTCTTCCGAATAATTTCTGTAGTAGTGTTAATCCCAAAATAAGGACAACTCATACAATACTGTGAAAGAAATAGGAATATTTATCAAGTGGAGAAAAATAACTAATAGGGGTATCAGGGGAAAACGAAAGGAAAGAGAAAAGAAAAGAGATAAAAGGTAAAGGAAGATGATAAGAAAACATCATGATTGGCCAATAATGTAGCACATCCAATGGATCGCTAGCCCATTGGCAAGGAAACTCAGCTGGTTAGTTTTTTTAACATGTTTATGAGAGTTAAATTCTCGACTTGACTCAAGTGCTCTTATGTTTTTCAATTTGTTTTAGGATTTAATAAAGTTATTCTTTAAATGGTAAGCGACGTGCTCATCAACATTAAGGCATATGTGGTGACTTCATTAATATCAAGACTAGACCGCTCAGTTTTTTGGATGTGCTTATAGGAGTAGAATGTATATAGTGTTCATTGCACTACCACCAAACACATTTTCGGAGGTGGTCATAGCCAGTTTTCAGAGACGGACATGTTGCTGCCTCCTAGGCACAGCCACTGTTAATGAGTATTTTCTGAGGTGGTCATTAATGCCCTTCTCTAGAAATAAATCACAAAAGATTAAAAAAGAGAGAAGAGAGAGAGAGAGACGACGGTGGAAAATCCTAAGGGTCCTTTATATATGCGAACATAGTTAATGGACCTTTTAGTCTTTGAGCCTTTCTTCTGAGACAGGCCTCTTAAGAGACATGCCTCTAAAAATTACCATCATTTTCAGAAGAGATCCTTCTCTACAAATTGATTCACAGATACGTTTGTTTTGTATTTCCGTAAATAGTCTGACCATCTCTGCAAATCACTCCATGTTTTGGGAGACAAGAGCATTTTATGCCCTCCTCCATCATGAAATCGTTTTTATAGTAATGTTGGTAGATGTGCATGTATGTAAGCATCTACTCCTACGTATGTATTGCAATTAAAACTTAAAAAAAATGGAAACGCCCAAAATTGTGCCAGCGACGTATAGTTTGCTCAGGTCAATGAACTTTAAAAGAAAATATTAGGATTACGATTCAGACCCATGCCCCTGTGATTTGGAATGAATTGCATTGTGCACTTGTGCTGCTCACGTACAAAGCCCGAACAAACAGACTGCCACTAGACCATTGTCACTGCACAAATTGTCCCAATGAACATCAACCCTTCCTGGCTATGTTTGGCAGTGGGACGGATTGCTTTGGAATCACAAGGAGAGACTTTTAGAGAACTTGCCATTCATTAGCTTCTCGCCCTTCCTTTTGGAAGAATAGAACAACCGAGAGATTTAGCTGCAGTTGGATGTCACTACCCTGGTAGGTAATCTCGTCACTCGTCAGTTACCATCAGTTACCACGAGAACAATGAATACTTTGTAGGCCAGCAAGAATAATCACAAAAGCCACACCTTTGGCCATGCAAAAACCGGATGCTAGACGCAAAGCACATGCATATAAACAACCCTACAAAATCTTTGGCGAATTGTGAGTGCCACAGATGCCGGGGGGCGGCATAAAAAAAACTCTCATTCCACGATCGACGGTCACACCCACCATGGAAACCAATTCGATGGCTAAATCCGCTTGCTTTGCCTTTGGCTTTAACCCTGCTCCACGTCTGATCTGCAAGGGCACGCGCGTGCTCTCTCCGCTTCTAATTTCTAAAGGATTATTCGCCACTGCGAATTTCTTTATGAGATTTCCGTGTAAAAGGGATGGAATGGGCCTTTTGTTTGGGCTTGAGTGGGATCCTTCTGATCCGATTTACGACAGGGTTAGATGCTGACAGGCAGAGTTGTTTATGGGAAAACCACTGGCTTGATGTGCTGATGCTTTCTCTACTATAAAATTATCTTTGGTGTGGTTTCAGCATCATGTGAGGGGTGAGGCTTAGTGAAGGAGAGAAACTGGGTGCAGTCTTGCAGACTTGGTTTTGTTGCCAGGCAACTGTGATGTTGGCTAAGTTGATCTTGTCTGCTGGCTGTTGCATTGCAGCTTTCATGGCCACACCAAATTGGAGTAGAATATGGAATCTCTTCCCTGTTTTCAGCTTTGGACTTTGTGCTCTTAAACTACTAGTAGGAAGTACTAGATTTCTTTGTTTTATATCAAATTTACCAAACTCTTGCAGCCGTCTCGTATTATTACTGCTGGCTGATTTGGTGTGAGAAAAAAATACTGTTCTGGCTTATAATCCACGATCGTTTACGACCAAGCGAACAGGCTGTTCGTTAGCTGTTAGGTACACCAGAATTGCCAAATCTGCCACTAAGCCAGACGACTATGTTCAAGCCAGGAGTCAGTGAAACCTACCTCATTGACATGTTTGCAGCTTCTTAAGCCGACCTTTTCACAAATTTCCTGTTTATATACCCAAAACAAAACAAAATATGTTTTCATTGGTCATTAATGTTTAAAGTCTGGCATCATCAGATGCACAAAAGAAAAAGATGATCAGTGAGATAAAAGTAGCCCTCTTAAATCTACTCAGCATGTAAAAAGTTGCTAATCCAATTTGTGGAGCCGTGTCCATCATTCTGATATTCAGATATGCTAATTTATGAGCCATATTGCCATGCGCCTGCCGATGTGTACCAGGAGAAGCATTGTGACCTAGACAGCCATTGATGGGAGCAAAAAGTTGCTGCCTCCATTGTTTTTCCCCACATTGCCTTGTTTCCCTCTCTTTTTTTCTTTATTTTTGGGGAGAAATTTATCCCTCGACAAACCAATTCTTGCTTAGTTGCTTGTTTTCTGATCGTCCGTAGCTTCAAAGGCGAACATGATGCCGGTAGTGTGAAGCAATACATGTATCAATGTGAGAGACTGTACCCTTTTAAGATTGCAAGTTTTGTGTGTCAGCCACTGAGTGTTCCCTGAAAAACAATGCTACTCCTGTTCTTAAAGTGAACATGTGTTTCTGTAGTTTACATCGCTTTGATGCACATAGTACTGTGGTAGGATGGGAATGGGATTAGTAAGGGCAACATTTGAGATGATCACACACCTTTGATCGTCCATCGTCTTGCGTTGGCGCTACTTTGAGTTGCCAGTGTTCAGAAATCAGAGCCAAGCAATGCCGGTGGGCCGGACTGAAAAACGTTTCTACTATGAGTACATTTTTGTGGATGAGGCTTCTATTATGAGTACATTTTTGTGGATGAATCTAGGGTTCTAGGCTTGCTTGAAAGTTGAAACATATGCAGACAAGTAGATTTGCTCTTGCTCCCTTCAGCAAATCATGACTCTGACTTAGGGACTTCCGACTTCAAGCTGGTTTTCTTACTGCAGCGTACTTATCTGAATATGAGACCATGAATACTTTTCCTTTTTCGAGATGACGGAGTACCCTTGTCTATCAGTGCTTATATTAGAAACAATTCTAAAGTGATAATGGAAGCAAGACTCTGCTATTGATTTTACTCATCCATGGAAATTTCTACAGGTCTTGCAAAATGAGCTGTTCAAAGTTCAGATGTCATTCATTTGAACAATATCATCATGACACAGGGTGGTCAACACCACAAGCTTTAGTTTTTTTTCACAAAATCTCCAGAACGCATTTGCATCATTGTACAATCATCAAGATTCATAGCCCTCTCATCCTCTGCAAATCTCGGTGAGCTCATCAAGGTCGTCGGACTCAGCGGCGATCTTGGACGCCGCCGACGACAGGAAGCGGAAGCCGGCGTCGCTGGCGCTCTTCCTGACGGAGGCCAGCTGCTGGGACTTCTTGCAGTAGGCGATGAGCCCCTGGATGGGGTTCTCCACCTCGGAGCTCGCGCTGCTGCTCCTCCTCAGCGCCGGGCCCGCGCCGTCGGACTCGCTCGAGGTCCGGACCGACGAGGAGGCTGACGAGGACGAGGACGAGGACGACGAAGACGACGGCAACGGCAGCGCAGGGACGGGGGACGTCTTGTTCGACGAGGAGTACCGGACGATGACGCTGGAGAAGGACCGCCTGTGCCCGTGCTCGCGTTCCTTGTACCGCCCTGCTGCGGGTGCGGCACGGCTGCTGCCGCCGCCGACGCAGACGTCGGAGGCGATGCACCTGTTGCTTCTGATCTGGGCGAACGGGTTCTTCCTCCACGCCCTGGGGTGGCCGTGGGCGAGCTCCTCCCGCGCTCCCCTCGCCGTCGCCGCGCCAAGATCGTTCTTTTCGTCCGACTTGGCTGCGAATATGGTCTTGAGGTACGCCTTGGACGCCTTGAGCCTGAGCCCGAGGTTGAGCTGCCTCATGAACCTGAGCTTCCTGGACCACGGCTTCCTCTCCCCCCCGGGGGCCGCCGCGGCGTCCGCTGCCAGCGCCAGGCCGGCCGCCGCCGCGTACTCCTGGAAGTACTCCTCGACGTTGAGCTCCCCGCTGACGTAGCACGAGTTGGCCGGCGACGCGTTGCACGACTCGTACGGCGTCGCGGGGGCCGTGCTGATGCCGTGGTGGAGAAACTCCCTGCTGCCGGCCCCGCGGCCGTCCAGGAGCTCCTCCACCATCTGGATGCGCGGCGGCAGGTGCAGCGGCAGCAGCTTCCCCTTGTAGAAGAGCTCGTCCGCCGGCGACGCCAGGGGCTCCCCCCACCGGTCCAGCGGCGCCGACATGAACTCGAACTCCCGCGCCCCGGCCGCAGCTACAGAGCTCAGGTCCATGTCGATGTAGTCCTCCTCTTCCCCTCTTGCTGCCGCCGCTGCACCTGTCCGTCCCCCTCCTCTCGCCTTCCCGCCATTGCTCACTCTTGCGTATTCTTGGCCTCTGGACTGGACGAACCGAGCCGAGCCGAGCCGAGCCGAACCGAACCGAGGTGGGTGTGGGTGTGTCGTGCCGTGCTGCGCCTTCATTCGGTGCTAGCCTAAAACAGCAGAGGAATCGATGAGGGGCGTTTATATAAACAAATTGGCGCTCACGCTCGTGCTTTACAGGGGCCCTACCATATTCCGCAAGATCTGCTTCTTGTTCGCGTCTCGGCCATCTCCCTGTCCCGGCCGCGGCACGAAGCCAACTCCCAACTGTGGCCCTGGCCGTCGCTGTCCGGCTGTCCCTCCATATCATTGCTCCATCCCTGGCTTTGGCGCCTTCTTTTCTGATGAAAACCCCGGCTTTGGTGGCGCCTCTGCCGTCTGCCCTCTCCCTCGGTGAGGAGTACGGAGTACTAGTGATTATGGGGGTGCAGCTCTTTTTGCTTTTTTGAACGCCTTCCCTCTGCGGCGGTGCAGACTGGGAGTAGCATGCTTCTCGTCTTTCCATGGCTCGGCTACCTCGTGCCATTTCATATCAGACAGTACGAGTACAGTGCAACTATGCATCGGCAAAGCGCACTGTTGGTACTGGGTACTCATAGTAGAAATTGTTATTGGATGATCACTGTAGGATGCGGCAATGATCGTTTGGAGTTCCAACTAGTGCCTGGGAGAGTTACGAGCGGTACGGACGATACGCAGGATCTGTGCTGGGATTCCTTGGGTTGCTGGACACGCCTGCACCCGTGCGTGCTTCACAAAATTTGCTCAAATCTTTGGATGCCATTGCTGCTTGCTGTAGTTGCTACGGTCAAGTTTTGAATTCGAAATGGGCAGCAGCTCGTGCCCCGAAACGGAACGGGAGCGCAGCAAAGCACGGAGCAGCTCCGGCAGCAGCGAGCAGTGACGCGCTACACCTCCTCTCCTAGTAGGCGTGCGCGCTTGTTAAGGCACCGGTACGCTACGCGGTACCACTGACGTGTGACGTGCCTGTGTGTCAGGCCATTGAAGCGTGTGAAGGCCGAAGGCCGCCAAGGCGCCATCACTCATTCGCTCGCTCGTCGGCTGTGCTCGAGTGGTAGGATCAGCAGATATCAGGGGATGTTTGGATGGACTAAATTAAACTTTAATCCTTGTTTTGATGCCAAATACAAAGCCTTATGAAATAATGGTAGTCTAATAGAAACTAATAGAGGCTAATTGATGAAAAAAGGAAAATTTTAATTAGTCCATGTTTAGTTTATTATTTAATGACGGACGAAACTTTAGTCCAGGTAATTCAAACACTCTTGCTACAAGAGGCGGTGAGGTAGCATGGACTAAAAGAATCAGAGAGATGTTGAATGCCTGAGAGTCAGGACGGACCCAAGAAGAGCGCGTGAGCGTGACAGTTACTCCATCCGAAAAAAATAGAACCTAGAAGGACTCCTGTCGGTGTTTCGAGTCACCACCGAGACGTAAATTTCTAATATTATGTGTCTGGTTTGGATGGTATGCTTAGATGACACGAGGTTTATACTGGTTCGGGTAAAATGTCCCTACGTCCAATTCGTTACTGCTACTCGTGTTACTAGCACTGAAAGCTCGTAGTAGGGGTTACAAACGGACGAGAGAGGGACGGGTCCCAAGTCTCTAGTGAAAGGGGTGAAAGGGTGCTGAGAGAGCTCGGTTGCTGCTCAGCCGTGTGTTCGGGGTTCGATGGGTTTGTTCCGACCTGGCTTGAATCGATCCGATCGGTTATCAGATGCCCTTTAATGGAGCGTCCTGGTTTCCCTTTTATAGGCCAGGGGAAAGCACGAGTTACAACGGAGGGAAAAAGGAGAACGAGAGAGAGAGCCGAAGGAATTCAGGATCACCGGGTCCTTCTTCTCCTTCATGCGGGTCCCGTCGACACTGTAGATGTCAACAGGGATGGCGCCATGTCGCGGTCTTGTCCGTCACTGGCGCCATGTGCAGACGTCGTATGCCGGTCATAGCGCTCCACTCCGTCCTGGTGGACGTTGTGGTGAACCGATGTGCCTGTCAGTGTTCGTACGATGGTTAGGCAGAACAGTACCGGTACACCCGACGCTGTTCTTGATGTGAATTCTCAGGTATGGCCCGTCGTGGCCACGGATTACATCGGGACGTGCCGATATCTTCCTTGGCGTCAAAGTTTTGACCCAGACCCATACGCTTGGACCTGGAGTGGTTGGCGACTCGTATGGGATCCCATCGGGCGAGGCGGAGCCCGCACCTGAGGGGTCGGGCGAGGTGGAGCCTGCCCCCAGAGGTCGGGCGAGGCGGAGCCCGCGGCCTCAGGGTTGGGCGAGGCAGAGCCTACCCCCAGAGGTCGGTCGAGGTGGAGTCCGCGGCCTCGGGGTCGGGCGTGGTAGGGCCTACCCCCAGAGGTTGGGCGAGGCGGAGACGGCGGCCCCGGGGTTAGGCGAGGCGGAGCCCACGACACTGGGGTCGGGCGAGGCGGAGACCACGGCCAGAGGTCGGGCGAGGCAGAGCCCACGACCTTGGGGTTGGGCGAGGTGGAGTTTGCATGCCCGAGGGTCGATTGGAGCTATAGTCGTTCTCTTGACTGCTTGGATGAATCAATGTTGATGGTCATTAGCTCCTCCTCCTCGGGTACCCTAGTATTGGTCCCCGACAGTGGCCCCTGAGCCTGCGGAGGAGTAGAAACTCCTTTGAAGGTTTTTCCGAACGGGATGACTCTGAGGGCCTTCTTTTGTCACCCACGGCGTGACCCGGGGATAGTGATTCCCTTTCATCGAGGTCGGACCCTTCAGGGGGTGTGGCCGTGAGATTTGGTGGGTTTGGAAAGGGTCTTTCCTGATTTCAACCCCTACAGGGGTCTGTTGTTCTGCAACCGTGCGTCCGGTCTCCGTGCGAGCCCAACTTTCCTCGAGCCCCTCGCCCATAGCAGGGGTCTAGTCATGGATCGGCTTGGCTTTGCGATTGTCTTTCCTCAAGCATTTTTCCTGATAAAAACGGAGGGGCCGAGCCATGCCATGATTTTTCTCTACGGACGAATCATGGTGCTTGGTAAGCTGTTAATGGGCTAGTCTGAGTGGGGCCCCGGCACCCCATTCATAGGGATCCGGCTTGGGTCAGCTTGGTTACCGACTCTAGATTCTTAGTAGCCAATCCATATAGTTCTCGGGTCCGTTCGACTAGCCCTGAGGGCTCTGTGCCTTTCTTCGAGAAAAAACCATTTATCGTATCCGGCCGAGACTCGAACGTGGGCCGGGATGTCCGCGGCGCTCCTGCGCCTAGGTTCTGGCTGCTAGCGGGCCCATCCCTTTCCACCCCTCTCTTTAAAAGGCATCAGAGTGGTTGTTGAACCTGTCAGTGGGCCAACCTTCGAACTCTTGGGCCTAGACGGGCCGTAGTAGCGTTTTTAGCTCTGTATTCCTCTTACCTATGATGGGTTGTGGCCCATCAGGAGAGGCAAAACATTCGACAAGTTTTTCAAGGGAACGGATAGAGGTGGTGTGTGTGTGTGCCGCGGCAAGACGTGGTGGCAGATCATGGCAGGCGCGGAGATCTAGGTGGGCGGTTGGTTTCCTCGCACCCGTCGCCCCTATAAAACCAAACGGTTAGCCCCCGGGTTTCATATCTTGCATCCTTGCCTCCGTAGCCACAACCTCTGTCACCAATCGCTTAGGTCTCCTGCCTCCTTATCTCCACCGCCGTTGAGCCCGCATCCATCCGCCCCCACCTCCAATGGATCCGTGGTGCCATTCCAACATCACCTTCCAGTGCATTGAGGGCCTTGTCCATCGAGGTCTTCTCCGCGCGTGGACCTCGGCCGAGGAGTGGCTGTTCCCTGGCGAGGAGGACTTGCCATCGCCACTCGATGGCTATGTGGTGTCGTTCGCCCACTTCCACAATCATGGGTTCGCAACCCCCGCCCATAGATTTCTTCGGGGGCTGCTGCACTACTATAAGATCGAGCTGCAGCATCTCAATCCCAATGGGATCCAGCACATGGCGGCATTCGTCGCCCTATATGAGGGGTTCCTAGGGATCAGCCCCCACTTCGACTTGTGGAGGTACTTCTTCGCCGTCACCCTCTAGAAAAAGAGGGAGAAAAGCGGCAGGCAGGAGCTGCATATGCCGATGGGGTGCACCGGCATCCAACTTTGGAACAACCAGGTCGGCGAGTACCCGTCCATGCGGCTCTCGACGTCCAACAAGGGGTGGCACTCGCAGTGGTTCTACCTCAAGAATGATGCCGCTGCCCCTCTGCTAGAGTTCACCGGGTGCCTGATCGAAGAGGCCTTGGAGCCATGGAGGAAGTGGGGCATCCTGGAGAAGGACAAGAAGGAGCCATGGAGGAAGTGGGGCATCCCAGAGAAGGACAAGAAGGAGATCCGAGACCACATCGCCGCCATCCATATCCTAAAGGAGAACGGCCTGAAGGGGTCGGGAGTCATCAGGGCCTACCACGCAAGGAGGGTGGCGCCGTTGATAATGCGCGCGCTCTCACTGTATGCGATGGCGCCCGAGGCATCATTCGATGGGACGGTGCTCGCCGAGGGAACACTCCCCGACTCTGAGATCGCACAATGCTTCAAGGAGGTGATGGAGTCTTCATAGGACGACGTGGGTGCCCCCCTCAATTTTGTCTACCCAGTGTGGGGCATCCTCCGATGCGGCCGGAGCTAGGCCACGTCGTCTTCATAAGTTTCCCTTCTCTTGCCTTCTCTTATTCGATTTTTTGACCCCTTGACACTAACTTTGAGAGGGGCTGAGGAACCAACCAAGGGACCTCATCCTCACGGATCACCCGATGCCGTTGCCGAGGGATTCGGCCATGAGGATGGCGAATCACACCGAGGGTGAGCGGCTGAGGAAGGTGAAGGAGGACAAGAAGAGAAAGAAGCAGCGGAAGCTGCAAGTGCGGGAACGAGGGGAGGACACTAATAGTGATGATGATGATGAAGAAGAGAAGGTAGCCGATGATATCGAGTGGGACAACCTAGAGAACGAGGATGCGCTGACATGTATCGGTTCATCCTTACAGGCGGGGAGGGTACGTCCGGGAGCTGGTGGAGGCGGGCCGTACCATCGGCCTACCCTAGGAGTCAACAGAGGTGGGAGGCTCTGCC